TTGAAGGAAACATTAGATTTTTGTTTCTCGTGATTTTCTTAACATTCCAGTTTATAATGTTAAACATGTTATATACATGATTGTATGCAGGTTTATATGTGAAAAAATATGTGGCCATTTAGGAAAGTTCCTTTTTTATATATTAGGAAATATGCCGTCAGTTATATGTCAGTTAAAAAATATTACATTTCCGCCTTCAAGACGAATTTGTCTTTGTTTTGCGTTTGTGGCAATATGTGTTCAAAATATCTAAACGAAAAGTTAGAGCTATTTTGGTAAGTAAATAGACAAGAAAAAGCTAATTTCGTAAATGTTTAAAAGACTGCAGAGCTGTTTAGGTAAATATTGACCTAATTATGAACTGGATGCCATTCGAAAACGCTCTTAAATTTCACTTTGGTTGGAAATCTTAAAAGGTTAAAAAACAAACGATCAGGCGCTATAAAAACCTGCCATTCAGAATGAGTTTATATGATGACAACATTAAAGAAACCTGTCGAGTTGTCTGTGTCTATCTGTCCAAGGTTGGAGGTCAGACGCCAGGGGCTATCCTCATCCAACTTTGCAGAAGGAATGGTCTGGGCCGTGGAAGGAACATAGGCTGGTCAGGCCTGCCAGATTACAAGAGGGAAATACAGCACGCTACAGTAACATACAGCCCCCCGACGACTGATTTTGACACTGCCTCCACCAGCTATACCTGGCTAAATATTAGACAAATCAAAATGTCAATTTATGTCTTATAGTAATATGAAAACTTAATGTACTGATCTCTGAAAAATTACCTGAAATTTTCTAAGTCATACTTTGCCCATAGTAGCATAAAACAGACGATCCTGCCACAGCTTCAAAGGTTTATTCAAACACCGCCCCTTTCTGGAACCCAAAAAGAAACACTTATTATTTTTTTGTAATATTTCACACCACTAGACTCCGCCTACTGGTGGACCACCTGTATGCCAATGGAAAACTATTATATTTTTATTAGAAACAGAGATAGCAAGGAGACACAGCCAGAGATAGCAAAGCGACACACCCAGAGATAGCAAAGCGACACAGCCAGAGACAGCAAAGCGACACAGCCAGAAATAACAAGAAGACACAGCCAGAGATAACAAGGAGACACAGGCACAGAAAGAGGCCTCTAAGACAGGCCTGCCGAGAGACACGGCCGAACGGGACAAAGAGACACTGGAAGTCAGACAGGCAGACGCAAATTTAGAGAGGCAAAGACAGAGAGAGAGAGAGAGAGAGAGAGAGAGAGAGAGAGAGAGAGAGAGAGAGAGAGAGAGAGAGAGAGAGAGAGAGAGAGAGAGAGAGAGAGAGAGAGAGAGAGAGAGAGAGCGCGCGGGGGGCGATGTTTGAAGAGAGGGAAGTAATGGGGGGGGAGGAGGGAAGGGAGGGAGAGGAGAGATGTGAGAGCAGGCCACTGTGCGACCCACAATGTGGACAACTGTGCGGACATGTGTACACACTATGCACAGTACTGGACAATCCACATATTGAGCAACTGATTCTGTAGAAGACCCTAGAGAATACCCAGACTAGATAAACTGGGTCAAACCTACAAGAACCCGGCGGTATCCGGGTCTCTTTCCCTACGTTCTTACTCCCCCACCTCTCTTCCCATCTACCATACTCTTATCCCTCTTTCCTCCCTCTCTTTTCCACCTGCCACCTTTCCACCTTCTCTTCCAATCTGCCCCCCTCTCATCTCTTTCCCTATATCACTCTCTTCCCATTTCCCCCTTCCCTTCTTTCCCCTCTCCATCTGTGTCTCCCCTTCTTCCCTCTCTTGAAACATCCTCATCTCTCACCTTCTTCTCTTGCTGTGTCTGCCTGTCTTCCTGTCTTCCTGTCACTGTCGTTGCCTTGGTAGACGCAGTCTCTCAACAGTCCTATCTCTATATTTGTCTCTTTCACATTCTGTAACTATCTCTATCTTCTCACCATCCCTGTCGCTATCTCTTATAAAAGTTATGTGATAGTTTTTCACTGGCATGCAGGTGAGAGGAGCTTGGCAGTGTGAAAACATTAAGAAAATCAAATAACTTCCACTTTAGTTTTGAGAAATGGACAGGGCTTACGAAAGCATTTAAAGATATTGGATGATCGTCTGTTTTATGCTACTATGGGCAAAGTATGACTAGAATTTGTTTTTTAATTCCCCCAAGATCACTGCATGATTTTTTTCCATATTGCTGTAACAATGTGAACTAAGTGTGTGCAACAGTCAATATTTTGTACATATTTCCGTTATATTTATCTTTTCTGCCGATCATATTTCTCAAGCTCGATTACCTGTTCCGAGCTCCCAACACGTGTCTTCGCCAGCAGCCCAGGCAGTGTACCCAGCTGCCAGGTCAACCTAGCTTGCCAGGTCAGCGTGGCTTGCCAGGTCAGCATGGCTTGTCAAGTCAGCCTGGCTTGCCTCATGGCGGCATCACGCGATATCCTAAAAAAGACGAGTATATTCTCATTTGTTTGTTCGCAGTGTAAGCAAGATACACAGTCTCTCTCTCTCTCTCCTTCTCATGCCATCAGTTGTGTCGTAAGGCCGCACGTAATATTTTTCATGGGCGGCTTTGTTCGTACCGGTTTGCCCTGACCCAACTTGTTGAGTCTCCGGTCATAAGGTGACACACACACACACACACACACACACACACACACACACACACACACACACACACACACACACACACACACACACACACACACACAAAGTACCATCTGGGAGGTGAAATCCTACAAGAGTCAAATAGAGAGAAAGATCTGGGGGTTGATATCACACCGAACCTGTCCCCAGAGGCCCATATCAAAAGGATATCGTCAGCGGCATATGCTAGACTGGCCAGCATAAGAACTGCCTTCAGAAACTTATGTAAGGAATCGTTCAGGATCCTGTATACCACATATGTCAGACCAATCCTGGAATATGCAGCTCCAGCTTGGAGTCCATACTTAGTTAAACACAAGACAAAGTTAGAGAAGATTCAGCTGTATGCCACCAGACTCGTTCCGGAACTGAGAGGTATGAGCTACGAGGAAAGGCTAAAGGAGCTGAAACTCACGTCCCTGGAAGACAGAAGAGTAAGGGGAGACATGATAACCACCTACAAAATTCTCAAGGGGAATTAATTGACAAGGTGGACAAAGACAAACTCTTCAGCACGGTGGAACACAAACAAGGGGACACAGGTGGAAACTTAATACCCAGAAGAGCCACAGAGACGTTAGAAATAATTTGTTCAGTGTCAGAGTAGTTAACAGGTGGAATGCATTAGGCAGTGATGTGTTGGAGGCTGACTCCATACACAGTTTCAAATGTAGATATAATATAGCCCAGTAGGCTCAGGAATCTGTACAGTAGTTGATTGACAGTTGAGAGGCGGATTCCTTTAAATTAGGAAATGGCTGGACAGAATGTCGAGTAGAGTGATTGTTCCTATCATGTTCTAATAGAAGAACAGCTCTATTTTTCGAACTGTTAATATGCTATGGTATCTCGTATTATTTCACTCACTAAATTCCTTCTAACTAGTCACTAATTAGCCAGTGACTAGTGAGAAGGTCCCCCCAGGTCGCTACCTGTTAAGCCACACATCAAGTTTCATTCCCCAGGCCCTCACTTAAAAATTTCAACTCATCAGGTTCCAGACGGGTTCGCCATAGCCCGTGCTGTTCGGAACTTTTTGTTCCAAGCAGCTGAATCTAAAACAACAAACAACATCAGGTGTCACTATCAAAGTTCCATTCATCATGATCCCCTCGCTCTTTTCAATCACCAATCGCCAGGTCCAAGCCACCAATCTGTAGCGAATCTTCGTCAGTTGTCATGACAAATACCTCAGTAGTCATGACAAATACGTCAGTAGTCATGACAAATACGTCAGTAGTCATGACAAATACCTCAGTAGTCATGACAAATACCTCAGTAGTCAAGACAAATACGTCAGTAGTCATGACAAATACCTCAGTAGTCATGACAAATACCTCAGTAGTCATGACAAATACCTCAGTAGTCATGACAAATACCTCAGTAGTCATGACAAATACCTCAGTAGTCATGACAAATACCTCAGTAGTCATGACAAATACGTCAGTAGTCATGACAAATACGTCAGTAGTCATGACAAATACATCATTCCATCAGGATTTCCACATAGAAAGGAAAACGTGAACAGGAAGATAGAGATGGAGACTGGCTCAGTTGGATACAAAGGGATGAAGATTCAAGAAGACGATACCAGACACCGTAACTCTGAGAAGACTCGAGATACAAGTAACAGCGATATACAACCCTTCCCGGAACACCAAAAGACTCAAACTGGAATACAGTGGAAACATTTGGGCCACTTTTGCTATCATTTGACCTTAGAAGGAATGGATCTCGAATCTTAATCATGAACAAATTCATCCATGCCCAAGAAAGAGTAGAACAAGAGAACATGTCATGGGAAGGGAGTAAGGGAGAGAGGCAGATACATGCAGGGTTAAATTAAAGGAGGAAGCAAGTAAGGAACTTTCTAAGCAAACATGCCAGTGGCTCTACAATAGTGGAATACACCGTTTCAAGTGTAGATATGATAGAGCCCAATAGGCTAAGGAACCTGTACACCTGTTGATTGACGGTTGAGAAGCGGGACCAATTAGCCAGAGCTCAAACCCCGCAAGCACGATTAGGTGAGTACAATTAGGTGAGTACAAGAATGGAATGGAACTTTCAGGAAAAAGCGCCAAGCCATTACGACTATATAACACTTGGAAGGGGTCAGGATAAGGATTAGGGATGGGATGGGGGGAAGGAATGGTGCCGAAGCAAACATAGAAGTGATTTTTTGTATCCCTTTTGAGAATGCCCAATCACTCGATACTGGAATTTGAATATCTGATAGAAGTAGCCAAAGCAGTTTAGGAAAGGGGGGATCAGAAGATAGTAGGCTGGCATTCCGAACACGAAACAATAAGGAAATGAAAGAATGTTGGTGAGGAACACGATGGTGACCGAACTAAGTGGAACACCCCTAACAAGGTATGGTGAGAAAGCAAAACAAAACTCGAGGTCATGGAAAAACGACGGGAACAAAAGAATACCAGAGAGGGAGAGGTACCAGAGGGCCAGAAATGTCTTCTTCACTAGGAGAAGAATATCTGGAAAAAAAAACCTTGGAAACGACGTACAAGATACAGCTAAGACTCAAATCAAGTCAACACAGCGACACAAGGAGGACAGAAACAGTAAACAGGAGATAGGACTATAGTCTCCTTTACTGGTGATGGTACTGACGCACGTAACAGGAACCCCAGTAACGCGTAACAGGAACCCCAGTAACGCGTAACAGGAACCCCAGTAACGCGTAACAGGAACCCCAGTAACGCGTAACAGGAACCCCAGTAACGCGTAACAGGAACCCCAGTAACGCGTAACAGGAACCCCAGTAACGCGTAACAGGAACAACAGTAACGCGTAACAGGAACCCCAGTAACGCGTAACAGGAACCCCAGTAACGCGTAACAGGAACCCCAGTAACACGTAACAGGAACCCCAGTAACGCGTAACAGGAACCCCAGTAACGCATAACAGGAACCCCAGTAACGCGTAACAGGAACCCCACAATGAGCTCGTCCCAGCTAAGCCCAAAATATTCTCTCTACCAAGGAGAGGAAAGAGTTATCATAATTTTTATTTGTTGCCGCTGGAGGCGGCTAGTTTATTGTGCACCCCATACTCATCCTGTGAGCGGTAGCGCAAAAAGCATTATAGAGGGCACAAAAGGTCTTTATCAGACCTCAACAGAGACAATTACATAAACAATTTCATCTATCCTTCACACCTTATAACTACAATGTCAGCTATTTACAAAGAATGTTCTATTTCAAGAGCTATATATTTACAGTAAATTATTATACATACATGGTAGGTCTTATCGCTAATACACAGTTGTTTGAGCAGTGGAGATATTACAATTATAGGGGAGCTGCTCTTTATTATTAGTTTTCACAATACACTACTTGTTTCTTAATCTCATATGTCGTTTATCTACTGGGAGCGAAATATAGATACAGTGCAAGGATTTCAGGTATTTTATCCATGGTAATAAGATAGGTTGCCATATCATATAGCGTGAGCTTAGATTTATCTCTAAATGGCTCAACTTTACTACATTCCAAGATATAGTGTTCGAGTGTGTGTCCCTGTCTTTGTCCACACACTTTACACTTTACTTCATCTAGATCCCTATACAAGCCGAACTGCCAGAGATACTTTAGCCAAGTCTTATACGAGCTGTGACAACTTCAGTTAGTAAGCTAACTTTGTTATTTGCCCCATACACATGTTTTACTTCACATATTTCATTGTGATAAACAATGGACCTGCTAGTTCCAGTTTGCACTGTTCTACCGTCTTCAAATTCATCCAGGAGTTCTCGTCTAATGACATTTTTAAGGGACCTATTTGATATCTCAAGTTATCATATACATGGAAGATCCTGGACAGTTAGATCTCAAATATTCACAATAAAATATCAACCTACTTGATCAAAAGATATGATAGGAAATACAAAATAGACCTAATGAAGAGCAGAGGTAACATAGGAATAATTACACAACACTATATAGGCATTAAAGATTCACGGCTCTTCATCCTCCCTCCAGCAAATACAAGATAAAATGCCGGAACGCAAATTCTAGGCGTTCGAGACAATTAGAAGAATCACTGCCCGAAACGCTTTACAAGAATGTAAGAACTCTTGTAAAAAGTCCTTACAGGAAGTGCCGAACCAACCGGCCTGTAATGGGCCTGTGGGATGCTCCAAGCAACAGCCTTTGTTACTAAATGACCTTTAAAATTACCTAAATAACTTTGTTACTAAATTATCACAAAACTAGTCTGACTTCTATTACGGGATTGGAACGAGTAGAAGCCTCTCGGAACGGACTACAGGTAAACAACTGGTAAATGAGGGGGAAACTGCTTAAAAAACAAGAGAAGCATGGTTTCAAACCAAGCTCCTCTGGAAGACATTAATATACTAACAATGACGTAAGGAGACAGATGTGTTCAGCAGGTCACTAAGGCTGTGGGTTCAGACAAGCTCTTACTGTGTCCAGCAAGAGTAAGCTTACGTCCCAAGTTTGATATATAAAATGTCACCGGAAACCGGAAAAGAACTATCAGAATCACTGAAGACAGCCAAAATAACCAAAAACAGATATCCTGAACTTGCTAAGCTACAAGTCTGTACCTCTCACTGGTATACAAGATGATACAAGAGAACAAGAGGAAAAAGGCTGGTAAAATACATGGAGAGAAGAGACGTTATAAACACAACACAAGCATGAGATTTACGGACGCCAAGTCTTGCATGCCATCGTAACTATATAGCACTTGGAAGGAGTCAGGATAAGGAATTGAGATGTGACGTGGGGAAGGAATGGTGCCCAACCACTTGGACGGTCGGGGAAGCGACATGCATGAAGCGACACCGTCGTTCTACCGTCCAGTCAAAGTGGCTGGGGAAAAAAAAGGTGGGCTGTAGTACCTATTTTGTAGACTCCGTCATTAGTAGCTGAAGGTATTATCCTTTTTTTTGAATGACAGGTGGAAGACGCCATGATGCAAAATATTTACACGAATTCGCGTGTGCGTAATACATCAGCAGGTAAAGTATGGCAAGGAAAAACCTGTCACAAACTTTATCTTGACTTATGAGTGTGGTTACAGGAAGACTCGTGAAGTAATACTTGCGTCAACATCACGGTCACGTCTTTGTTGTCTTATATTTTATATACGCAGTTAGTCCTATATTTCATTTCCTTATAATTTGCTGTTTCGTAAATGTTAAATAGTTCGCTATATGGCGAGCCTTAGTTTTGTTATCTATGTATTATTGTTAATTATCTTATAGCACTATCAACTTTTCCTTCTTGTCTTATCAGTGTTTTTCGTTCCTTTCTGACGTTTTAGAATTGATTACGTTCATAATTTTTTTTAAACCATATTAATGCTCTTTTCATCTACCTGAGCGAGCACGTGACTTGTACCGTCTCCCCATTCCAACGTCTCTCACAGTAACCTTCTGTTTCCTATCAGAGAGGTTATCTTCTCGCCCATCCCAGTACTTGTCCAGGTACGTCAGTCGGATTTTAAGGCGCGTCGCCGACCAGGTATAAGGCTAAGCAGCTCTGGGTGTGGCTCTCGTCTGAATGGGTGATCACCTGCACAAACAGCTGGTCCTGCCTTAACACCACCAAGCACTGCACTGTTTCGGCTGATACATTATTCACAAGTAGATTCATACGGTTGCAATATTATTCTGTTTTCATATTGCTTGCACGCATATGCACGCGCGCACACGCACACGAGCGCGCACACACCACACAACGATATACATTAAGTAGTGATGCATTCCATTTGTTAACTACTCCGACTCCCAGGTACATATTTACTACTAGGTAACAGGAGCATCAGGGTGAAAGAAGTATTTTGCCAATTTGTCTCCGCCTCCACCGGGGCTCGAACCCAGAACCTCAGGACTACGAATCCGAAGCGCTGTCCACCCAGCTGTCAGGCGCCCTCGATGGGTGTATAAAGGTTGTATAATTAGCTAAATCAAATCTCTCTTTACACGAACTCATGGGTCACTATTATTCACAGTGTTCCGCTTCTTATTTGTGCTACTTCAACCCGCTTCACGTCAAATATGACTGTTTATGTTACAAGATACCGCACTGTATTCTCCTGGACACCCTTGTATCACCCCTGACAAGCAGGAGCGTAATTACAATCTCGCGGCCTATTCTTATCTTCAAATTAGATAAGTCACTTGAGTCAATATTGACTTTTCCTCCTTCACAGCCATATATCCTCTCTCTTCGAACTTCATTTGTTTACTTACAGTTTGTTAAATTCCATTATTTTACTGTTTGTCCCCACTGTTTGTAACTCCGTTCAACACCAGTTTTACAAACCAACTCGTCAACAGGAGATAAACAAACTTGTGGAGAAACTTGTATAGCGCATTACGACCTTAGGATTGGCATCTTCAAGATGAAACACACTTTGTCTCCTGTTGCCAGCCGCACGGTGTTCAATCCCCGACCGTCCAAGTGATTGGGCACCATTCCTTTCCCCACGTTCTATCCCAAATCCTTATCCTGACCCCTTCCAAGTGCTATATAGTCGTAATGGCTTGGCGCTTTCTCCTCATAACTCCTTCCTGTTGCCAGCCAGCCACAAGAATGGCTTCACAGTCCACTCTTCAGTGTCCGCCAGGTCGTTGGAGTAACTACTGGATAGTTACAAAAGGGGAGACAGACAGAGGTATATGGATTTGTGTTTCAACGGCTATTTTAAGCCCTGTTACGGTGTCGTGGTGTTGGGGTAAGATGCTTGGGGTCTTTTCAAGAGAGGACTGTGGTTCGAATCCATGAATTATTCCCTGAGAATTATTCACATTTGTGTGTAATTATCTCATACTTCCCTCTCGTCCATTCCCTTTCGTAGGCCCGAAGCCTATGAATAAGGAAACTGACGGTCTACCAACAGGGACGCGGTCTACCAACAGGGACTCGACCTACCAACAGGAACTCGGCCTACCAACAGGGACTCGGCCTATCAACAGGGAGTCGGCCTACCAACAGGGACGCGGCCTACCAACAGGGACTCGGCCTATCAACAGGGAGTCGGCCTACCAACAGGAACTCGGCCTACCAACAGGAACTCGGCCTATCAACAGGGAGTCGGCCCTCTGCAGTGTTGATTGTGCAACTCCTGCCGCCCCGACCACGAGGCGCGGCCGGCGTGTTGCCTTGAAGGTGTGTGTGTGTGTGTGCCGGCCTTGGCAACACCAGCTTACATCCTAGTATTGCATACTGGCAATGCTGCAACACGCTTACATTTATTTCACGTTGCGACACGCTAGCTTTTGTTTTTTAGTACGAGTGACCTGTTATCTGTTCCGTAGAGAGCAAAATACACTACTTGATTGGAAGTTGAATGGAATGTTTGAGAAATTAATATTTATATAACGTCCGAAAGATCCATCTTCCTGTTTAACGCATCAACTGTTGAAAAGCTGCGAGAGCACTTTAACTGTGTAACTACCTTATCATGACTGTAACTAATGGAATGTTAGGGTTTAATTCCTGAGCATCTTGTGTGCCTCAGTGACCTTATCCACTACTACCGGCAGGATGGGCATGGGGTTCACTACCACCCCCGCAGGATGGTCATG